GACTTGTCCTCGTTTATCCACAATTGGAAGTCAGTGATTGCGGGGACGTCACACATTCCGGACGAGGTTATGCTAAGGGATATCTTGTTGCGTCAGATCGTTTTCAAAACAATGCTGAATGTTGTTGGTGAATTGAAAAATGCCAGATGAAATATTTTTTTTTTTTGCAAAACAGAAAATTGCTTCCTGTTTTTTTTAAATATACGAATGCAATTTGAATATGGAGCAACAAAATAGCGGTTGAAAATATGGAACGTGTGTGGAATTCTAAAACATTCGTGCCAAAATGTGAAAAAAATTTTCTCCAGGGTGCATGGTCCAAATGGATGCAAAACCAAGCAAATGACCGTTTTTTTCTTTCAAATTTCATGCATACGCTTTTTTTTTCTTTTGTTGTGTGCATCCACACAAGAGCATATATTGTTAGTTGGTCATGCATTGTGTGTTGCCTGTTTGAGCCGTGCTTACACTTGTTTTGTTTGCAATCCGCAAAGCCAGGAAAAATGTTTTTTTGCCAAGAAGCGTGTTGCGGTTGATGATGAGGGTCAGGGAATCATTTGATTCGTATAAAAACTTAAGAAGGAGGATCGATGGTGTTTTCGTCATGTTTGTTTTGGTTGCTGGGAAAATGTACGAAAATTCAATGGTATTTGAATTGCATTGTGATTCGTCCTGGGGCAAGGCAATATTTTGGGTTGGGTAATTTGCGTTTGCGAATGAATTATTGAAAATTGCGAGGAAAAACCCAAATCAGTTTGTTTTTACACAGCCAGGAGGCTGCTTTAACAGCTTTTTGGGGAGCATGGAGAAATGTCACAACACAAGCACGATTTTTTTTGGTTGAAGGTGTATGTTATAAATATTAAGAAATCATATTCATGAAGATTATAAATAGCTCAGAAAGATAGTATCATAAAATAACTAAAAAAAAACACAAATTATCATTTATAATTATTTTTCGATCCTCGAAAAATATGAAAAAAACACCATTATATGTAGAAATGCGACATAATATGCATCCATTTCATATTCGAATTCATTCTGTATCATATTTTTTAATTTTAAATGATCCGCGGCTTGCAACCACGAAAAATATGTAGATTAGAAAATCTGCAACAAAAAATTTCCGCCCCGGGTCATCACGTTCCACCAAACGGTCGCGCAAATTCTTCAAAAAAGATGGAGGGGGAAGGGGGGCCATAAATCCACGGTTCTGAAAAATTTGTAATTCCTTTCTCGGCATTATACAGTCGTCCGATAACCAAACAGAAAAAATCATTTCGAATACATAAGATCGCGTGTCGACGAACAATCAGAAAAAACATAAAATCATACGTGAGCAGAAACGACCAATCTAGCATATTCTGAAAAATTTTAGATCTCCGCCCCCACTCCCGGCCGAGCAGCCGCGCAGGCAGCTAAAGAAAGAAAAATGGTTCCAAATTTACGGAAGTTTCGCAAAAATTCGCCAGCGTAATAAGGTGCCATGGTGAGTCCTAAGAATGGCGGCTTAAATAAACCCTTTAGCCCAATGCTCAATTTTCACAAAATGCAATTGCGACGTTCTGTTGATGCAAAAGCTCTCTCCTGCAGCAGCTTTTGCAAATCAATCCTGTGGAGGCTTGTCCTGTGAGTGACTAGGCCATAAGTCCTATTTGCAATCGTCATAAAAAGCTGCAAGTTTTTTTGGTGCACAAATTGAAATGCAATTTGCTGTTTTTTTTTGCCAGGCAATGTTGCATTTCGGGCGCCGATTTTGCATTTCGAATTCATTTTCATGTTAAAAGCAATTTTCAACTTTTGGAAATGGTTTTTGTATTTTGGACGCCTTTTGGCTTTTAGAAGGCAATTTTTTGCGCTTTAATTGCCGTTTTTGCTTTTTGGAAGCCATTTCTGCTTTTTGGAACTTGTTTTCGCATTCTGGAAGCAGCTTTTTTGGAAGCTATTTTGGCAATTTGAGCGGCCATTTTCGTGCCGGCCAATAATGGCAAAAATCTCGGAAAATCTTTCCGGTCTTTAGAGGAAATAATAAGAATGAAAAGATCCCCCATTCCATTATTACTATTTGAGGGGGAAATGAGAATAATCATAATGCGCAAAAAAGGAGAAAATCTCTAGGGGGATAGGCCCTTAGACTCTGGAGCCTAAATTTGATATTTTGGTATCGCCAGAATGGACATTTTTGACCAAAAACGGCCAAGCCCAAAAAAGACAAAAGAAAGGATATTTTTCTAGAGAAGCCCTTGGGTTCTAGAGTCCAAATTTAGTGGTTTGGAGACCTCCAAAATCGTCATTGCTGATCAAAAACGATCATTCATAATCTAATAATTTAATCGTTTAAGATCAAAAAAATCTAATCATGAAGTCGGAGAATTTGAAGGGCAAGGACTAAAGAATCTAATCATGAAAGCGGAGAATTTTTAATCGTAAAAGCGGAGAATTTTTAAGGATAAGAGCCAAATAATATAATTATAAAAACGGAAAATTTGAAAGGCAAGACCCAAATAATTTAATCGTAAAAGAGAAAAAATTGAAAAATGAGACCAAATAATCTAATCATAAAAATGGAGAATTTAAAGGGCAGGGAGCAAACAGAGAATTTGAAAGCTAAGGGCTCAAGAATCTAATCATAAAAGCGGAGAATTCCAAATCGTAAAAACGGCGAATTTTAAGGGTCAAATAATCTAATAATAAAACGAAGAATTTGAAGGATACGAGCCAAACAATCTAATTAAAAAATATAGAATTCAAAAGGCAAGTCCTAACCATGAAAGTGGAGAATTTAAAAGAAAAGAGCCAAAGAATAGAACCGTAAAAGCGGAGAATTTTAAGACTAAAAACAAAATAATCTAATCATAAGAACGGAGAATTTAAAGAGCAGAAATTAAATAGCCTAATCGAAAAAATAAAGACTTTGAAGACGAAAAGCAAAGCTCAAAGAATCTAATCGTAAAAATAAAGAATTAAAAGAATAAATCCTTAGCAAGAAGAGATTAAATAAATTGACTCTTTATTATAGAATTTCTACTAGTAAGCAGACACTTCAATTTATTCAAATTCGCGTACGACTTCAATTTCAATTTTTTCTAAATTTCATATGGGAGTTATCCAATATTCCTTTGCCTCAAAACCACCCTCTCGCCGTGCNNNAAAAGCATATATGCTGACACACATTATATTACCCTTTCGCCGTGCTTTCGCGGATCTTTCGCGACCACAGAAAAGCACTGATTTTGCTTCTGACATATTCCGGCTTTATATAGAATGTAAACAAAGGTTTAAAGACGGCCCCCATATATTTTAATTTACAAGAAAAATATTTATTACTTCAAAATCTTTCAAGAAAATTTATACTAGCATATCAAGGCACCCATCTAAAAAATTATTTATCCGTTCCAAGTCTATGCGCTCGATCGAATAGCCGCGAAAAATGACTGCAAATAGTCGCATCATAATATTGAAATAAATATCATTCATATCTTTTTTATATTCTAAATCGATTCGATAAATAGATTTTATCAAATATATATTTTTATAATTCATATTAATTCTCATCATTCTTTTTTGAGATTTAAATCCAGAATCTTTTTTTGAAGATCCGCCGCATACAAGTAAATCTAAAATGCAACCAAGCTCATTGCACAAAGATAGCGTAGTCGTAATCGTAACCTTAACTGGCATCGAAGGGGGGCACAAATACAAGCGAAAAAGCCTGAAAATCAAGATTCCAAGGAGCCCGAACTGATTGTCCACGGGCAGCCCCCGTGGCAATTGTGATCGGAGCCAATGAGCCCGCCAATGCCGCCGCCACTTCCCCAATGGTACTGGATTTCGAGATACTTAAAAAACGTTATTTGGCCGGAATGTCAACCCAAGTAAATTAACCTTGTTCTTTGTTTCTTATCCAGGAAATTTTTTGGCAAAAGCTGGCCTTCTCCGTGCGCATCTGGGCATCTGCCTGCGGTCGCTCCGTGTCTCCGCAATTGCCGGCGAAGTTTGCATCGTACTGGGTGCCTTATCTCAATCAAGTTCAACGCGCAAGTTCACGGCATACAGCATGGAGTAGCCTGTGAATGAAAATTTACCAGCGCGCCTAGGCCGGATCCGAGATTGTATCCGCCGTTGCGATTTGTCGACAAGCGGTTGAAATCGTTTGTGTTCATCTCGGTATTCACGTAAAGGTCATCGACGCCATTGTGCGTGTTCTTGATCAATGGCTCCCACTCAATGAGGTGTCCGACATCGCCGCCCGTTGTCTCATCAGCCATCTTGTACCTCTTGCTGGTGTCAAGTCCACTGCTGCAGGTGTTACCCGTGGTGAACCAGCCGTGGAGCGTCTTGGTTTCCAAGAGCTTCCAGGTTCTCCATCCGAGTGCCTAATACACAGCATTTAACATCCTGAAACCCAATCTGATCTGAGTCTGAAAAGTCGGTACTTAAATCAACAACACCGTGCCATATGCGCCTTGCCCTCATTGTGGCAAACAATCAAAAGCTCCTTGGCCTCCTTGTTGCTGAAGACATCCGTGTCCTTCGAATTCTGTTACAGTGCTTTACTGCTTTGGGATGTTACTGCTAAACCAAAATCCTCAACTTAGAGTTCCTAATCCCTTTTGCCCTGGATCCTTGTAGTCCCGGCTGAAACGCTCCGACGTCTGATCACTGGCCCCTCCCAAGCCTGTAGCTGACTCCCAAAATTCAACATTCCTTAGTTGCTTGCGGCTGGCTTGCACTTTGAAAAGTTCAAGCTGAACTGAAAGGAATGGGTTCTAGGAAGAAATCCAAAATTCAAAGTTGGGGCAGGCAGGGCCTCAGGAGGCACACCTCAAGGTTTAAAGAGCGACTAAAGACGATATAGGGTCTAATAATGCGTAATAGGGTTGCGATTTTGGGCGGGTTCTTTTTGAGGTAACAAACATTGTGCCAAGAAGATTCGGGTAGGCCACGACGTTGCCATCGTTTGTGTCGATGTTGAGAGCCAGGGACCAGCTTCCAGAAGGCGTAGTGCCAAGCCCCGAGAAGTCCAAACCGGACACACCAGCAGACTGCCTGGGATTTCATGTCTAGACTTCCATGACGGATCATGCCTCACATCAGAAGTGGCTAACATTAATCAGGAACAAGGGGCTCACAGCAACTTGCAACGCATGCCTTTGCAGGAGCCTCCGCGGGCAGGCTGTTGTAGTTGGCCGTCTTGTAGGCCGAGCTGCCAGCTGGGTCTGTCGGGATTTGGCATGAAGGCTTGCCAGGCTTGACAGGGAACTGCAAAGCGAGGTCTTGATCGCTTTGCTTGGCCACGTCTTTCAGCTGGCACTGATCAATAGCGTTGGCCCGGTCCCCCTCTGGCAGTTCAAAGACTTTGATCATGCATTCCATGCGCAAGAGAGCACGCCACTCCTAACAGGAAAACATGATGGCAGGGCAGGCAAGAATGCGGCGTGGCACCTACCTCCCCCATCCCAAAGCGGTCCTGCTTCAAGGCATCCAGCTGCTGATGAGAACTGGCCTTCACAGTGTCATAGTTACTCACGGCCTTGGTGTAGCATTCCTGAGCAGCCTCGCATTCGGTGGTGGCCTTTT